ATTCCTTTAGCAGGGTGAATTTTGTTTGCAAACAGTATTTTCTAAAGTTAGCTAGTGAATAGAAGTACAGTTTATAAAGATTATATATTTATAAATATGAAATTATGGCACATTGTATTTTCCAAAATGGTAACTGCAATATATCCAATCCCACACACTTGCAACATGCCCTTGTTATTCCTCCCATCATCATATGGTGACTTCTATTAATAAATGCTTCTCCTTGACATCAGGCAGACCTTTGTGACTGCCTTGACCAACAGAGTACAACAAAAGTGATTCCATGGGATCTCCAAAGCTAGGTCATAAAATGCTATGCACATTGCCTTGCTCACTTGACTGCTAGCTCTTGGAACCCAAACACTATAGTACGAGCAATCCAATTAATTTCCAGATGACATCCCTAGCTGAGTTCCCAGCCAACAGCCAGAATCACCCACTATAGTTGTGAGTGAGTGAGACTTCAGGTGATTCCAAACTCCAGCCTTCCAGTTAATCCTCAAGCCAGCCCAGCTGACACTGTGTGGAGTAGGGATGAGCTATTCCCACTGCCTCCTGCCCAAACGGCGTATCTGTGGACAACATAAGTGACTATTATTGATTTCAGCCACTAAATTCTGGGTGGATGATTATGCAGCAGTCTGGAACAATATATGTAATAGGAAAAATAATATATATGCATATAAACTATTTTATTTCATTTACTATTCATTCCTTTATGCACGAAAAATTTATTGGATATATGCTAGCAAATATTTACTAGTAAGTTAATCACTATGCTAGTCATTGGATATACAAGTAGCAGTAATATGTGTATGTATCCACCGCTTGGCCTAGTCTATAATACTTTCTGGTATGAGAAATACTGATAGAAAATTATTAATAATTCATTAAAACAAAGAACATCCTTAACAATCTGAATCATTTTTGGAAGAAATTATAGAATCTCTCTAAATGATAATGTTTACTCACCCAAAGCATCTGAGGAAAAATAAGAAAAAATAAATAAATAAATAAATGATAATGTTGCTGATTTACTTAGTATACTGTAATTCTAAATGTATAGAATTCATGAATCTCCAACTATAAAAATAACTGGAAAATAAACAAAAAGTGACTGGAAATAAATCAAGTTACTTATTTAGTTATTTATTAATTTTAACGAACACACTAGAATGAATTTATTCAAATGAAAATGACTCTTCGTAGTAATCACTTTAGGAGGATTTATACTTCTGCCAGTGACAACACCATTGCTGACAACATTTTGTGACTCTTTTATGGCAGCTGAAGGAGGTTTATAAATCAAAGGGAACTTAAATATTGAATTTTTATCTAATTTTTGACACCTAAATTATTATTATACTTACACCTGAATAGTAACTTTAATATTCCATCTTCATTCATAGAAATGTTTGTCTTTAAATATTACATTCACTTTCAAAGGAAGATCTGTCATTGAACATATTAAAAAAACAATTGTGACACTACCTCTAAGAGTCTAAGGGGAAACATAAATTATTTTCTCTAATAGATGCATTATTGAGATACTTCTATGGATGATTAATATAATATCTTTAAAGGGGACTGACTTAACTGTGTATTTTTGGGTATCTTTGATAAAGTCCAGAAATCTTATACTCATAGAAATGTTTGTCTTTAAATATTACATTCACTTTCAAAGGAAGATCTGTCATTGAACATATTAAAAAAACAATTGTGACTCTACCTCTAAG